AGAGGATAGAACTTGAAAAATGCAATCAATAGAACATTGTTTTGCATATTGAAGGTATATCAATTATCAGAGGATTTTTGAGAATTAAAAAAATGTTAGAATTTATTGTTTGACTTTCCAATTACCCAAGAATATGCATTGATGTTCTGGATAATGGAGGTTTCAATATAGTTGAAAACCTAAAGTTTTTATTTTGTTCCCAGATGTGCCAATTATCAATGTATTGATTTTATTTAAAATTCACCTTTCCCTACCTGCTGTGTGATAATGAACTGGGCTTTTTAAGCATTTCTCCTGTACAGCAAGCACATTGTTAACTTTTGTCAGCCATCATCTGAAAGAGCTAAAAGAATATTTTAGAAGGGGCTTCTCTTCCTGGTTCCAGGTGTTGCATTTTGCTTTTTCTTGCTTCAGTTGCATGGTCCAGCCATGGTGCATGTGTGGGGTGACATCTGGTGGCACTCTGCCCCAGCTGTGCATCCAGAGTGCAGTCCCTCGGTGACCTCACATCCCTGGCCTGGGCCCCTCACTGCAGCCCTCTCACTGCAGATACCCCGTCTTCCAGGCTTCATACCCACAGCAGCACCCCAACTCCCACCCACCTACCTTGGCTTACCTGTATTCTGGAGGGTTGCTTTTTTGTTCCCGGCGACCTAGGACCAGTTCTGGCCTCAGCAATCAGAAAACGTTGCCATTTAGTGCACCACCACCACACTTCATCCCACAAGGTCTGGCCTCCAACCATCGGCAGGGGTGCTTCTTCTACAGGTGTCCTTCCTTGGCTCTGCTCTCTCAGCCTTAGGTTACCCTTCAGAGTTCTCTATATTTTCATAGTTACTCTCTGAATAATTCTTTAAACTTTTCCTGTTAAGTCACTGTGTGACTTCTGTCTCCTGATTGGATCCAGTCTGATCCACCAGGAGTAGTCAAACACATTTTTCTCCCTGAGCTCTGATTCACTCTCACCATCTATATACTATGGTGATATTGTTAAAGATCACCTAGAACATCCTGGATATTCAGGCAGAAGCAAACTAATAGATTTGCATCATTGATTTATATCTTTTCTTGGGGCAGAAGGACTGGGTTCACTTTGGAGCTTATTAAGCTCACATTTTCTTTGAAGCAATGATAATGGTACCAGAAAAATTAAGCAGTAACAATAATTTAACAGAGCAAAATGCCTTTCGTTTGATAATGCCAGAATTAACTTATATTTCTAAGTTCCATGGATTCTCCTGCTTTCCATTTCACTCAACTAAGGAGGCTTGAGACCATCAGGATTCTCAAGCAGACAGGGACAGGGAAAGTGTCCGGGGTCAGATGACATCAATACAGAGTCACCTAAGCAAAGACTATTTATGCAAAAACCAATATTGATATGATAAGTGGAGTTCAATTTACTTTCCTATTTACTAAGGGTATAGTAGTTTGGCATATCAGTGGTAACACTAGGGAAAAAAATATCAAGACACCTCTAAAGATATTATAGGCTACTAAAATACCTTAAACAAACAATGGTATTTTTGGAGTAAGTGCTTAGAATAGCACCAGCTGTGTGTACTTTACAAGGAAAAGAAAAAAAGAAAAAGGAAAAAAAGAAGAAAAACAAACCTAAGTATATTTGAACTAGAGAGCAAATGTGACAATTTAGAACATGATGATGAGAAACTAATTTGGAGCCCAATTATTAAACAGAAAACTTTGTCCTTTGAAACATGGATGCATTAGAGACCACGTCAATCAATTGATGGAGCTGGCCCAGGAGTCATTTTCCTTGGGAGCTATATTTGCCTGAAGAGAAATTGAAAAATTATACTCTGAGTTCTAAACTGTTTTATTTTTCTCCCTGAGGTCCGTGATCAGTGGTTTTCTGACATGGAAATGGTTTATTCTTCTGCACTGAGCAATGGCTCCAGTCTTTGTTGTGTGTGATTACACTCAGTCCAAACACAGGGAAAAAGTTGCCTTCTTGGCAAACTTTCATTTACGAGGGCTCCCCCAGTGTTCTGCCCTTCGTGCCAATCACTGAACACACCTTGCTTTCCTCCAAGTCTGTGTTCAAGGTGTGGAAGCCACACCTTTCTTTTGAATCACTGATGCAATCTTGCCACCTACCCAGACAGCTTCTAAATCATGGATTAAAGAAGTAAAGTTCAGAAATGCAACACCACAGACAAATGGTTTCTTCTCAATTCTCTTCACAAAATGAACCGTTGAGCAAATCAGACACTTGCCACATTCAAAATAGTATGCATCTCCTGAGTATGATAAATATACAGCCTCCTTCTGACTTTGGGGGGAGTGGTGGGGGAAGGGGTTCTTTCACAAAGTTTTGGGCTTGGTGCTTCCTGAGTTAAATGCTCTCATTCATAAGTACAACACAAAACTGTATCAGTCTGAGATTCCTGTTGGGTAGCCATGTGTCCTAGCCCCTTTCCTCTTTTAAATTTTAAATACTGCAAAGGAACCATTTTCCCTGTGAGGCTCCGACACTTGGGATGAAATCTTCTCTGCGGAATTTTGGCACCCTATTAATTAGTGGTTATGAGTGGGAGCTGCTCTCTCTCAGCAACTCCTATTCTGCCATCAGTCAAGTGTGATGCTGTAATAAATTCCCACGAAGCAAACTATTTCTGGTAATTCTCCCTAATTAACACCAGGCCCGCTAATAATACATCAGTACCTATGTGTTTCTGATATAACCAAGATCTTGTCTGAGACTACTCAAAACGGGAAAGTGCCAACCTAAATTAAGCTTTTGTGGGCAAAAAAGGATTTTATATGTAGTTCTGTAAGAAAACCTTTGATAATCTTATATTGGGGACATTTTGACCAGAGAACACTGAACGACAGGGAGGCTTGTTCTGGTTTGAGCACTGATTGGGGATTTGTTGTGAACACACACTGTTGAGTCTTAAGCCTATAAATCTTGGACTGGATTACTGTTTCTTAACGAAGGAATGACAGATCTCTTATTCTGTCGGTGCATTTTAATGTGCAATGACGTGATTGATAGAAACCAAACAGCAGCTATTAAAATGTCAGATGCAGACTTGATGCCCTTATAAGTTTGGCTTCTGGAGTTTAATATACTGTGAGCAAATAGACTTGAATTTGTCTTTTATTTCCAATGTACAGCCTGCAACAGAAACATTCCCCTTAACTTTATACAGTTGGAAAAAAATTTTTACTTAAACCAATAAACAAACAAGGAATAGGTGAGCCTACCTAGTCATAGAAAAGTTAGCTAATGAAGTCGGGATGAGTTAAGCATGAAGAACAGACCCAGGTAGATTAAAAATGTGAAAATGTAGATGATGACTTATACTATTTGAATATGATATATAATACAATATAATGCTTGATATGACAGGTTACTCCAATAAATGATTTCAGTAATAAATATTTTTAAAAAGACCATAGAGCTTATTTATCAATTCACAAACATCTGTGTATATGCTACACGCAAAGCATAAAAATGAATTAGTGTAGAATAAATGTGACAATATTTTTAAATGTTTTGTTTCTGGGACATTTTGATAGGCAAATCTCATAAGAGAGGGATTCTCCTGAGAATTATTACACATCTTCCTTTCCTGTGAACATGACTTTTTCCCATGATAACTTAATAGAAACCACTTGCTACCCCAAAAGAAAAACGAGGAAAGCTTGTCTAGGTCACTGCAGCCATTTATTTATTATGTGCTCATTAAGGTATTACTATACTGATTATATTTCTCATGTGGTTTTTAATTAGAAAATACATCCAAAAGCAAAACAGCATAGACATATACAAACTTAAAAACGTAAAGAAACAGAAAGTAGAGATTAATAGATAAGGTGAATGATACATTGAGAATCCAAACCCAGTACTTTAAAACATCTGGGGGATGAAGAGTGACAAACTGAAGCCACTTTAGGTTTCTGTGAAATTATTCAGTATGTTTTCCTTTCCCTATGTCTGAAAAGCCTCTCCTTTCAATAGGGATGACTAAACTGCAAACATCATGAAAATGTTAACCACTAGATTCACACTTGAACAGGGGGAGGAAGCATTACTTTCTGTAAACGTGGTCTAATACAGTACCCCTGGAAAATGGTACCACCAACACATTTTGTTGTGATTTTTAAACATAATGCTGCACTAATATTTTGAAGGTTTAAACTATTTGTTTGTCTTAATACTGACCAGATGACTAAGTTTTAGTGTTAGACTCTGAATGTAGCCTGAATCAAGAGGAAATGTATCAGCTACCATAAGCATAATCACAGGGCTCATTTTTAGGTGCTACTTCATCGGGCAACATTCTGTCCTTGTAAATCTGGAGAAATGTTATGCATCTGAACCTATCAGTAGCATTTAGAAACTGGGACATCCAAACAGGGCATGTTTTAAAGTCATGTACTGTGATTTTATCTGTTATAACTACGTACAGCATTCCAAAATATACATCTAGAGAGACTAAAAGTAAATGCTCTACGGTAAAGAAGTAATAATTTAAAAAAAGCTACTGACATGGAATATTATAATCAGAAAAATAAATATTCAGGGAGCTCACCAGAAGAATAAAGTGCTCTGCCAGTTATGAAAAGATTAATTCTGCTGTGTTACACGTGGCATTCCCCACTGGAAAATACAGATATTCTTCTGGGTTACGATCAACATTTATTTCACAGGATTAACTGTTTAGGAACAGATATAAAGTTTTGCCACAGAAGAGAAGGACAAAGCCCAAAGACAAAACGATAAATTAGGAAGTAATGTTACCCTCTTAGAGATAAAATTTAGAGAAATGTAATAATATGCTCCATGAATAATATACAGAAAGAAAAGTCTAATAAAAAATGATATTGTCATGTTAAGATTACTTTATAAGAAATCTAGGTCAAATAAAATTATTTGAAGGAAATACCCAAATGCCACTGATTCGTCAAAAGCTATCTTTGCACATAATCTATAAAGGCAAAACTAAATAACAACAACAACAACAAAGTTCTACCATACCAAAACAAGACTACCAACTTATTTTATATTCTGTAAAGCAAAAGGCTGACATTAGGTATGTGGCAATGCACATTAGCCAGCATGTCTTCTGTAGGTGGTTTCAGCAGCAATGAGAAATAATGACACTTCAGTTCCAACACTTAAAAAAATAAAATAAAACCTTCCTGCCTCCCTACAAGGTGCAGGGTGAGGAGGTGGTCTGGGCTTGTTACCGGTGAAGTACTCAGTTTGCCACTTTGCATCGCTTTTCTCATTCTTTTATCCCTAGTTAATTATTATCTGCATATAATTTCAATCTGCTAGACCATAAATTAACAGCTTTCAGGACCGATGCCTTGAAAAGTTCTTAGGGGTGCTAAAAAAATATTGTAGCCTACAACTTCCCTCTATAACAAACATGTACACAAGGGAAGTGAAGTCATGAGTGAGTGATGGGGCAGGAAAGATTTGGGGATGAGTCTCAACTGTAAAAACACCTTGCTCCAAACAAATTTAAATTATAACTAAGTAAAACCATGGGCTTTCACCCATTCTGGAAACAATGAGAAACCCATCAAATGCCATAATCTTTTCTCTCACTGGGCAAATATCAATAGGACACAAATTGTTTCTCTGCCTTCATGTGGTTTCTACATAATTTTTGCCCCAAATGAAGAAAATAACGGGCCAGTCTCAGTAATTAACCATGTTGCCTCCTATACTGTTAAACATCTGTGAATAAAAGCTTTCCAACTTCATGACCACATTTGGAAGTAGTTCATTTATTACTGAGAGAGAACTATCAAAAGAAAAAAACAACCTAGATTTTATCACATCCCCAAGCCAGTTTTTTTATTTTCTAATGTAGAATTAAAGAAAAAAAAGTTACTCTGCAAATAGAGTTCTCAAACCTTCATTTGTCAATACTACAACTCTGAAACTGACTCATGATCTGAAAGGGGGAATTTTGGGAGGGGAATATTTTGGATCCAATCCTCTGATTTACCACAATTCCTAATCACGTTCTTTCCTACTTATTCTCTTTGTAGGCAGAGAAAGCTGCCACAGTCTAAAGTTATTTAATTAGCTCTTTACCTCAGCATAAAGGAGAGGGAAAACAGGTTGACTAATATAGGCGATAAAACATACATGATGAATACAAACGGTCATATTTTAATAAAATGCAACACTTTGAGATTTATAAGGTATAGGATGGCTTTTGAGGAGGATGAGAAAAAATACAGCATCTTTTATTGGCATGACACTTTCTGATCAAAAATCATTGACCTTTCCTACTGGAATGATCAATTGTAATACAAAAAAAAATGTACATAGTTTTTAAAAACTGACACCTACTACTACTGATAAAATTCTGTTTAAACTCCTATTTACTGTTTTAAAGATAAACAGTATCTTTTTAAAAATACAACGTATCACTTATTGATAAAGTATAAGGCATTTTCATTGCCTTTTACAGATTTACTTGGAACTACCTACAAGGAAAGAAAGCATAATTATTTCAGCATAGAGGTTGGAGTTTTTATTCTAAAAATGTAATTCTTCATTTGTTCTGAGATGAATTTAATAGTTAACCAGGAAATTGATTTTTATGGAAGTTATTTTATGAGCAGAATATACAGGAAAAAAGTAATAATAAATGCCAAACTGTCTCTTTACGTTACGAAGCCAAATATTTCCTCATAGACTTGGTTTTTAAAGCTGGAATTTATCCCTTCAGGCCCACTATTATTTTTCAAAACTTCATATAAATATTCAACCTAAAAATTAACTGGTAATTTTAATTCTCGTTCTCTTCAAATTTCTTCTCTTCTAAACTGTTGACTTTCAAAAATTCACAGAATGGGCATGTTTCTTGCAAAGTGGCTTGTCCTTCTTGGAGAAAAAGGTTTGACCTTCCAAACTTTCACAGCATATCTGAAAAAGGAAGCATTACATAAGAGAATGTCATTATTTTATCAAGTATGCATGAAGGGGAAAATGAGTTTTCACCTAGTGGATAATATGACAAAGCACTTTAGTTGGTTGTTAGACACCCTGACATTTCAAAATTACTACATTTCGTGAATTCTTTCAAGAGCAATGAAGAATGACTTTTTCCTGGAATGCCCTCTAATTTATTTAAATCACTGATCATTACTTCTCTTTATTGGGAGTGAAGCAATTGGCCCTAATAAAAAAATTAACACATGAAGAGGTCACATTAAATATAATATCTCTTCCCAAATTCTAATCAGTGCTTTCAATCTACTTCCTGTTGTAGAGAACCAACGCATTCAAAATGAAAACACAACCCAATTGCTTTGCCAAATGTTCCCAAGCCCCCAAATACACAGGCACAGAATACCTGAGAATTCTTTCCAATACACTTCTGTATTTCTTATAGTGAAAAGCCTGAGCAACATCTGGCTGATGGATAATTATATATTCAGTTAACTATCCACATTTATGTCTTTTTGTCTTTCCTGTTGCATTTGTTAATTATGTACAGGAGCAGCTCTACCAGAGAACAGGAGAAGGCAAATCTGCAAAGATGTTGTTTTTTATATTTATAGATTTTATGACATGTAAGAAATGGATGAGGTAAACTAGACAGGGTTCAATGGTAACATTTGAGAAAATCATTCGACTTCAATTAACGTGACTTGCTTCCCTTCATACAATGGGTATTGAAAGCTATTAGATATATTAAACCTAATTGAAAAAAACAAACATCAGAGTACCTTTATTGACTACTTACTTTCTAAATCAAAAATAATACATATTTTATGCTAATGTTAATCTCTGAAACAAAACTCATCAAAAATAAAATAAAAAATATTAAAGTATCAAGTGCAATAATAGGTAAATATATTACTACGTGTTTATTATACTCTCAAAAAGAAAAGGATATTTATGGACTATTGCTAAGGAAGGAAACGAATCAACATAGAGCTTACTTCCAGTGTTAATTCAGTAATAGATTTTTTTTTTTTTTTAAGATTTTTATTGGGGAATTGGGGGGATGGGAACAGTGCTGGGGAATTGGGGGAAGGGGAACAGACAAGTTGCTGTCGTTTTTTGTTCTTCAATCTAGTTGTGGAGGATGTTGCTTCACTGGCCCAAGTTGGCACCATCATTGCGCTCTTCTCTGGCGAGGCAGATCAGTCGCCGGCTTCTGGACGGCCGCTCACTGCGGCTGCTGGCCGCTCACGCTGGCTGCTGGCTACACACAGTAGCCCATGGCAACCCACTGCCACAGGGAGTGCAGCCTACGCCGTCGCCGGCGACTCATGGCAGCCCAGCTCCAGGTTGAGCTGTCGTTCAGCATCTTAGCTGGGGAGGGCAGTGTCACTGGCCCTCATATGTGGGATCCGAACCGGGGCCCTCTGGCATCCCAAGCGAGCTCTCAACCATCGTGCCACTCGGCCGGCCCAGTAATAGATTTTTATAATTATTTACTTCTATTTTAAAAAGTACCTTTGTTTATAAAAATTACTACAATGCTCCAATAAAAGTTTGGGTTTTTTTTAAAGTAAAGGCCTGTTACTGTTTTAAGAAATAGCCTCTCCTTACAAATAAAAAAAGTATTAAAGATAGTATTGTCTCTAAAGAGGTAAGCATCTTATTCTGTGCCAAATCATTTTTTAGTGCCAAAAATTATAATCGACAACTTTCAAAATCACTGTAAAAATATTTTTAGGTTTAAAAGACTAAAAGATACAAAAACTGTTATTTCCATTGAGGGCTTAGGGTAGAATTGGCCATATGTGCTCTGTGAATTCAGAAATGAGAGTGTACTTACCGAGCACACAAAGCAAGTGTCATGCCAGGTGTAGCCCAGAGCTTCCAGGAACATATCGCCAGCTTCGATGGGAAATTCACATCCATGACATATAGTACCGAAGAGGGCATAATAATCTGTGTGGGTGGGGAGACATAATTTAAACATGACAAATCTTTAGAATGACACTTCCTAGAAAGCAGAAATAATATTGGAATGAGATGATAAAGTTACTAGTAACTGGAAAATTATTCAGATGGCATAATATTTGGCTTGAGATATATGTGTAGTGTTGTTTCTGGTTACCCTCGTAAACGTCATTTACACAGTTTAACATCCTTTACTGTATTTTTCCATATAATATATTTCATTTCTCTCCAACTACTTAATATAACACGTAAGTTATCAATAGAGGTGACTGTTGTCAATAAAATGCAAAAGAACATACACTAACTGGCAACAATAAGACTAATGAAAAATCAAGAAGAAATAAATATCTGGTATTAGCAAATTTTATAGCGTATCTGACTTGGTAAAAAAGAAAATAAAAAGTCACAGGAAACTTTCATGAATAACTGCCATGACTGAGTTTTCTTCAACTATATCACAATATTAGTCACTATTTCTTTTGCTCTATTTTCCTTTCAATTTTATGACCTCATGTTTAAAATCATTAGTCAGAGGACACCATTTACTTGATAAAGGTTATAGTTATAAAATACTCATAGGATTTCCTTCTGAAAAAAGTTTTGACAACATGTTTCTTTATAATTACTAAATTAGAATTTATTGGCATTTTAATTTTTGTTTATGCAGCTACTCTCACTACTTGTGTTTACTCGTGGTTCATTCTTCGGCTTTTGACATTTTCAATCCAACCTGGGCAGGAAGAGACAGTAGGCTATCATTTGCAACTTGATTCACCTTTCTTAGCAATCTTCAGTACTCCTTAGCAGTATTTGTTTAACACATATCCACAGGGCCCTGTGTGCCAGGTACTGTTCTAGGCACTGGCCAGGTTACAGTGGTGAAGAAGACAGACGTGGTTGATCTCCTCATGGGGCTTATAGTCTCCTTGGGAGCAGGATGTCATAACTTATTGTATTTTTAAAATAAATAGCAATTTCAGATTGTAATACGTGCCATGAAGGAAAGATAAGAGCCATATGGTATAAAATTCCTAGGGGAGGTTATAGCACTACATTATATTAGGGTTAGGAAAGGCCTCCATGAGGAATTAATAGTTGTGTTGAGAGTTGGAAGAGGAGAAATCACCACAAGAAAGCTGGGGAAGAGCATTTCTGTTAGAAGAAACAGCAAGCACAAAACCCTGAGGCAGGAAGAATCTTAGCATGTTGAGAAACAGTGAAGGGACCAGGTATGGCTAGAATCCAGTGACAGAAAGTAAGGGAGTAGGAGATAAGGTTGGCAAAGCCGGCGTGAGTTAAGGAGTATAGTTTCTACTCTAGTGGAAGCTGGGAAAGGTATCCAGGACAATCTGATTCACATTTAAACAAACACTACCATAACTATTGAGGGCTGGGGGAAGGAAGTTACCATTCAGGTGGTGATTACCATGTCCACACAAAGGGCGCAAGTGAATTTAATGATGACAGCTGAGGTGGAGAGAAATCAATGAATTCAATATATACACAGAAGGAATGTGTTAGGGATTTTGGGATAGTGGACAGTGGGCCATTTACTGAGATGGGGAAGAACAGGGCTAAGAGCAAGTCTGGGAGGTTAAAGAAAAAGAACAAAATAGATCAAGGTGATCAGAAGTAACAGGTAAATAAGTCTTCAATAATGTTTTTCCCCTCCTGTAGGTAATTTTTGGGTTTTAAAAATGACTGTTTAGATTACATTATATATGATATTAACGCTAGGTAGTTTTATATGTGTTTTGACTAGATAGGGACTATACCAGTTAGTCAAATGTCTTACAAAGCTCTTAAAACAAACAAAGAGCTCTTTCTTCAGAATGACTAAGTGGATTTACAAAACGTGAAATATCCTGGTTGAATCTGGGTAGACAGCTTGTAGCCAACCTGTCCCAATGGGCCATGGGGTCATTCACTGGCTCACTGGCCTTTCCATAGGGCTTCCTGGGGAATAGTCTGGCAGAGTTCTAGATTGGTCCTAACTAAAGAGCTAAAAGAACGGTGAAAATAAGAGAATACTGAGTAGGCAAAGAAGGATTAAGTGATGTTGATCAGCCTCCGATTAGAAGCTGACCACTCCTTTAACTTGACTATTGTGGAATACTTCCTTCCTCTAAAGCCACACTTTGAATTTCAAGGTAGAACAACAATTGATTTGATCGTAGAAAAGCAGCATAGTGCGTGAAGGCATGATAAAGGAAAAGTATTTTATTTTTGAAAAAGTATGTGTGGTAGGAATGTCTAGGTAAGGGTAATATTAATAGTAAGTGTTATGAAAGTGTTACGGACAGCCTCTGGGAAGTAAAAGGAAGTAGCCGGAGTCCGGTAATAAGACAAATGTAGAAGACTGAACCCTTACAGCCTAATTTATTAAAAATAATTTTACCAAGAGAGCAATCCAAGCCAGGATTACCCTCCTATTCAGTAAAAGCAACAAAGGATTTCCACTTCATTGTCAGAGCAATTGCCTTAAAGAGCAAATCAGTATCATGTTCAAAAGTTGAATATTTGTCATGTTTATAACCATTCAAAATTCACTTACTGAAGTATAAGAGATGGCTTTAAGCTACACGATTTGGTGGAAGTTATATCCCTAAATTATTGGGGATTCAAGCAAAATATTTTTCTACCAAGTTGTGCTTACATGCTCACTTCTGTTAATGAAGTTTGGGAATATCTGTTTTGACAAAAATCACAAACAAATTTTACATAGGTTTTTGGCTATATTTTTAGAGTAACATTAAATGTTACTAAAACAGTTAGGAAAACTATTTTGCCTACTAGTTCATTTCAACTTTACAACAACATAAGAAGAGTTCATGTTTTATCTTCATTCAAAACTTAAGAAACTCGGCTTCAGGATCTTACCAGTCTCACAGTAGGGTTCACCATCCTCCAAGTGAAAAACATTATTACGAATAGGTTTCCCACAGGCCACACACACAAAACAGGAAACATGCCAAGTTTGTTTCAAAGCATTGATGACTTCCTGTGATAGAAAGGTAACTGGATGTAAAAAAAAGATGACAATACACAAATGCTCGACTAATACAGCCCTTTAAACTGACCTAAAGGATACACACATGCTTTTTCTCTGCTTTGCGCTCTTCACCTAAGTAACAGGAGATGTGTAAGGACAGACTCACAATCATCTAAACTGATGCACTATATTAGTATGTGCATTTCTCACAAATACACATCAATAAACTTATTTAAAGAATGATTGCGGTGTTAAACATTATACATGCAGTGAATAAAGTAAGCATCTCCTAAGTGCTTGCTACAATACCTTCTGCTTTCTCTCAAAGGGTGTCAGAAAACATTAACTTATAAAGGTTTCACGGTATTATCTTGAAAATGTCATGGAAGAATGGCAAAACATTTAAACACTGAAACAAAACTAGACTTTGGTGCATTATGGAAGCAATAACTTAATCAGTATAATCCAATCAGTTTAATACATGTTCAGGATTTTGGAAATTAGCTGTGACTGTACTAAGCACACACTCAAAGGCATGTCTAAAATTTGAACCATAAAGCATGGATTCTAGTCAACACTGGCCCTATGATTAAATATACCACGTATCAAAAACTTGGGCCAGATTTTAATTAGTAAAATAATTTTGGGGGATCATTTCTTTAGATTGAGATTAAGAGATGGAACCATAAAAATCATTTTTTAAGAAAAGTTCATAACACAGAAGTTTACCCTTTCTATATATTTATCACAAAAAAAGGATGCCATACATAAAGTATAGTTATAATTTTGTAAATGAATTATGTACAAGGAGCAAACTGGAAGAAAATCAATTGTAAGGTTAACAGGAATTATCTGGGATTGATAAACATATAGGTCATTTTAATTTCATTCTTTACATTATTTTTGTGTTTTCTAATTGTTGAGTGAAATATGTTCTTTTGTAATAGAAAAATATTGTCAAACTTTTTAAAAGAAAATAATATAGAGTAAATTATTAGCCATCGAAAATGCCATAGTTCACTGAAGGACAATTAAAAAAAAATTCAGTTGTTAAGACCCAAAAAGATCACCATGAACATGTACAACAAATGTACATTAAACCAAATCATTTCCCAAGGCTTCCAGCATATACTTCCCTTTCTATACTTGAGACAGATTGCTATTCCTTCTTTATTAGGTAATCAAACAACTAAAACACAATCAAGAGACTCTGTCCTTTTAGTGAAGTTCTGGTCAATCTCTGAAGCAGTGAGTATAAGATTTCCATTTCCTAGAACCTCATTTGGTTCTAAGGCTCCTACCTGACTTTGTTTTCTTAATTATTCTAGAATCCATAGAATACATTTATATCCTAAAACAGTATTAATGTATTCTACTTATTATTTGTCATTTGGGAAGATACAACCTGAATTATTCTATCCTTTTGTTCCCAACATATTATACAAATTAATGATATAGAAATATTTTATGTGGTATATCTAAAATTTTTTAGTGCCCTCAAAGTTTTAGACATATTTAAAGACATATTCTAAAATGAAAGACTACACAATAATTTAGGTTAACTTTTTCTTAATTGATGTGAATTTAGTTTCATTATTATATCTTTATACTCACAATACCAGAACTCAGCCATACCATTTCCAAATTTTATATTAGTTGTATGAGACCAGGCACCTTGGTTGCTTCTAAAGTAAAATTCCAATTCCTGGTCATCCAATAGGAAATGCCTGACCCTTACTTTGTAATTGCGAACTGGGTATTCCAGAGAAGGAAATTCATTCATTCATTATTATTTATTATGTACCTGACTCCTAAATTACTCCAGTTTTGAAAAAAAAAAAGTGTGGTTTTATTATTTTTCTATATATGCATGCTCTCATAAAACTGAGGTTATATTTTTAAACATTATATGCATTCAAGAAAAATATATCATTTATAAGCCTCATGTTTTATAAACTTCATGAGATCTGTGCCCTGTGCTTGAACTCTGACAAATAGGGAAATGCTGCTCTTATAAAAGCTATGGAATTTAATTTAAAACAGGGAAGGTGTCAGTTCTGAGAACTCTGATGTGTGTGGTCCTGTGCGACCTCTTCATTCCTGAGCAAACAGAATCCTGTTGAGGTAGCACACCCACAGTAAATTATTTTTCCCCCACAGTGGTTAGACTTTCACCAGACAAACCAGCACTCACTAAGACAAAACCAAAGACAACTTAACCCCATGAGTCCAATCCACAGAGGTCTATTTAGTTTTGCTTTACAATAATAAATAGTGATGAAAGCAGAGAAGGGATCAAGCAAGAAGAAAATAAAAAGTCAAAATGATGGAAGGGTTTCCTAACAGAAATCGTTCTGCTCTGAAATTCATCCAAAATAAAAAGGTCTCTAGTACTTACTCCAAGGATCTTCCTCTGGCATCGACCGCATTCGGGAGCAAAGAATCTCTCATAGCACAGCTCGCAATACAGGGCCCCCTTCTCCTCCACAAATCCAATGTAGGCCATTGTATTTTTGCAGTGAGCACAGTTAAACTCTTCTGGGTGCCAAGATTTCCCCAGTGCCACTAGGAACGGTCCCCTGCCGGAAGCAAAGAGATCAAGTTGGCTCGGGAATAAAAGTTTCTAAAAAGTTTGCCTGGATAAGACCTGTTTTATACAATGTCTAACCGATTAAATCAGCGGTTCTCAACCTGTGGGTTGCGACCCCTTTGGGGGTCGAACGACCCTTTCACAGGCATCGCCTAAGACCATAGGAAAACAAAAAGATATTTACATTACAATTCAAACAGTAGCAGAATTACAGTTACAGAGTAGCAATGAAAATAATTTTATGGTTGGGGTCACCACAACATGAGGGAACTGCATTAAGGGGTCGCGGCATTAGGAAGGTTGAGAACCGATGGATTAAATACTTGCTCAATTCTCCTTCTCAAGGACTGAGCACATGGGTGCTATAAATTTACATGAGGACTCTCTGTGCATTTATGTGAAAAGAAGGCAGGAGCCAGAGCCTGAAAGGCCATATCCCCCCCTTATTTTTCTGTCTTGAAGAGATTTGGTAGTTATGGTTTTTGAGTTGCAATGAGTGAGTCTGTTTGTGTGTGTCTGTTTGTGTCACGATTATGATTGAAAATGAGGATGTGAACTAGGGCAGAAAATAAAGTAACCAGGAAAAAAATATGGTTTAGGCAGAGATGAGAGCATGATATTTCTATAAAATGAACAAAAATTTCAATTTGCTAATGTCAAAGACTTAAAAATAATAACTATTACCTGAGAAAACATTCTAGTCAATTTCTCTTCCCCATTGTGTCATGTATTTATTTCTCAACTTTATTAAGCACATCAAATCCTCATCTTCCAAAATGACTACAGAAACTGTAAACTGGATATTAGAGGTTGTTTGAAGCTACTTACAAAGGTTTTATTTAATTCAAACGTGACTTATTTTTCATGCATATTTGTATCAAGGTAACAATTTTTTTTTAAGGTAACAAATGTTTGTAAAGATTTTTTTTCCCATTAAATACCACACAGTTATGAACTGATAAGATGGGTTTGAAAGGGTTTTGCTTGACAGGAATCCATTATGAAGCCTTATCTAGTCATGAAGCCTGCAGAGATGAACCATTCTAGCCTTCGCAACATACTTTTCAGTAGCTACATCCCACTGATTTTTATTCATAGAGTGGCTTTACCTCCAAGGCACTTTTATACTTATCTAATTTGTCCATGCAGCATTCCTGTGAGATAGACCAGGGCAGTTATTACGAACTCAGTTTAACAGATGGAAAAGCTGAGATACGGAATGTTCAAAAGATACAACGAATATCATAAAATCACTGATTGAGCGAAGGCCGGAAGCTGAATTTCCTGATTGCTTGTATACTGCTCTAGTCAACTGATATTTTGCCTTTGATCTCATTAGCATCAGTGACCATCACTTAGAGAGCACAGGGTAACTGTTATTAAGCATCGGCACCCAACTTCGAGGCAGGTTATTAATAGGAAAAGTCACAGTAATAAGCATCATAAAGTTGAAGCATATTTTTAGCTTTAACAATAACATAAACCTTGAAATTCAGTAACTATCTCCCATTGGGAAATTCTTTCCAAATACACTGATGTTTATACTCAGAAGCAGCACCGAATTCTGCAAGGGTTAATAAAATAGAACGGCTCCTGATGAATGATTAAAATGTGTTCTGTGGTATCAGGGTGTTTTCTAGCCCCATGTTCTGTTGCCTTGGTTCTTATTAATATGCCATTTTGTATAAGCTCATGCATGCAGCTCTCCTAGCATTTGAGACAAGTAGTTCATATTATTATTTTTTAAACTTTAGGGTACTATAGTTTTGTTATCACTAACAAGGAATGCCTTTGTTAACCAAGTCCTACTAGAAAAAAAAGAAAGGGCTACAGATCACCTCTGTAACCAAATATGTTACTCTGGGTAGGTTGTCCCTCAATTTTTTTTACTGGCTTACAAGTAACAACCTTACTCAACAAGCTACTTCATTTCATTTTCTCAGTATATACCATATTTTGTCGTGTACAATATGCTCCTGTGTATACTATGCACCCACATTTTTGGTCTGAACTTTCAAGGGAAAAAAAGCTTTTGTTTTACTTTTTAAATTTTGTTTGTTTACATTTAGGTACTTGTTTTTTGTATTATAAAGGAATTTTAGCATTTATTTTTTAACATATTATGGTACAAGAAATTTTATGTAACAAATAATTACAAAACATAAGAACAGATACAAGGTACAAGAAAGTTTATGTACCGGTAACAAATTTATGAAATTTATGCATCACACAAGACCAAGAACTCTTCATCACTGCAAGTTCATTGTAAGTTTAACAAAACCAGTTATCATATTCCAGGGTATTATTTTGCATATGGATATTGTTATTGATTTCTAGAGTTACATTTTTAACTCATAAACATAAATAAAAGAATTAAAAACATGCGTAACATTCATCCTTACTTTTCCCACAAAAATTTGGGCAAAAAAAAGTACACATTATACACAGCAAAATACGGTATCTGGCAAGCAGTTTTCCTTCAAAGATAAACCAATGAGTAACAATGCTCAAAGCTAGACAGTTTTATGAGTGCTCTGAGATATTCCACCAGGTGGGTATCTCTGGTTATATACGCTTGAAAAATATGCCAGGCTAAATTTACTGGGACCATAATATAAGGCTACAGTAGAACTTTGGGGTTTTATGCTACCTTTGGTCTGGGTGTTCAAGTTGTTCAAAACAATTTACTAGGGTGAATTTTTTATTAGGGCACATCTTCAGCTCATCTATAAGCCTGAATAGGCCCCTTGAGACCAGTATCCTTAGGCTCCTCAATTTGCAAAAGAAGTCTATCAACCTGCATTCCATTAAAGCATAATTGTTGGTATATGCTTGGAATAAAGAGCTATACTCCTGGAACGTGTGTCTGTCAGTACTACCAAATAGCCAAGAAAGTTCAACTGAGAAAAAAAGACATTTAAGAACAAATGATTGAAGACCATATGATCCATTTTGTAGATTTACCAAAATATATGTTGAGATCAACTCAGACTAGCAGAGAACAGGGTTCTGCAAATCAGAGCATGTAGACCGGACCCATCCCATGGAATTATGATCCATGTTAAGTGTGACACCATCAGTCTGCACTATCACTTGTTACAGGAAATAACTATGAAATCCACCTTTGCTCTTCCTGCAAACTGCTGTTGTTAGATCACATGGGCTATTTTCACATGGATTCCTGGGAGAAATCCCTTTCAGATTTTTGCAGCAAGAACAGTTTTGCTTTGTTTGAGCAATAGATTTATTTATTTATTTTTATCTCACTGTCTAGCAATTCACAAAATTAACTTCCTTTTTTTGTTGTTGGCTGCAAGAAGGCTTAACGTCAAATTTAGTCCAACCATAGTCAAGTATGCATGTCAGTGCTGTAGGTCTTGTCCAGTCTCAATGACAAATTTGTCCAGTGTTCATTTTTAATAGCCCATTTGATATTTTCATTCTTCTTTTGCTCCCTTTTGTAATTCAGAAGGTAATCTTATATTTCATGTATTCTTAAAAGACTTTTTGAAAGCTTTCTGGAATAGGGTCCACTATGAAAGAAGAAAGAAAAAAGAAAAGAAAGAAAGAAATATTGTCCATCAAAAGGGTAACTTTAAGGTATTGCCTTAGTTTCTTTATCAAAATGGAAGATTGAAAGATCTTGACAACAATAAAGAAACTCTCTGTGTACCTTTAAAAACTAGGCTGAAAATGACCGCTGCTCCCACCATACCTCCTTTCTTAAACAAACATGTTCAGTGCAGATACTGGCCTAATCTGATATCCTTGGCTATGCTGAAAGAGCATCTTTCTCCATCAATGATCTTTAACTTATGTACAGATGAAACAATAAAATCTTTTACATATAAAAAAGTACTCTCTTCACTGTGTCAGCAGAGACTAATTTAACAAATTCATTAACACAGGATTAACACTGAAGAAGTTTTTCTTGGTCCATGTAGGATTGGGTTTCTGTTTGTGAACTGGAACAACAGGCTTGGATAACTGCAAAGTGGAATTAAGTATTCAGCTACCTCTTAAAGTCTCTGCACCTTCTGTGCCCTTGCTAAATACTTGTTGACTGACGAAGGGAGAAGAGAGAGAGTCAAAGCATTGATTGGCTGAGAGAGAAGAACTACAGCATGAAACTTTTTACCCAGTTTATCTTCTGTGAGATTTATGCCAAAAAGGCAAAAAAAAAAAAGGAAGGAGAGATAGGGAAGAATGCTAAGGAAAAACATTCTGAGGAAAAGAAAAGCTTACAAATAGAAAGGTGAAAGGAAGTGCAAATTTCAACAGGGACAATCTAACGGATTTAAATTCAAAATCAAATGCATACTTCTTGCTTCCCTTTGTTATGTAAGTCTCACTATAACCCTTGGTGATAGACACGAACTCTATAAACAGATGAAGGAAACAGGAGAAGTTAGTCAACTTTCCTTCGATAATGGGGGATGATGAACTGTAAAGCTGGAATCCTCTAAGGCCCAGCCACTATAGATCAACATTTTTATTTGACCAAACTGTATTGCATCAATAGACATTAAAAACAAAAAAAAAGTTTAAAAAAATCAAAATAAGTTAATCAACGAAAGGCTAAAAACAAAGCCACATCATAAAGAACTCATATGCTCAAAAATAAATAGAAAATCTGATATTCTACTTAACTAGATATAAAAATAAAAATGAATAAGCCAGTTTTATGGCATGCTCAACTTTTAGGAAGGGCCTAGCATGGGCAAGGAGTCTAAGAACAACACAACTAGAAGAATAGAATGAAACACAAAAGATCATTGGGAGAAAATGGCAACACACGCAGTCACAGATATACACAGACACATGCAGGAAGAGAAAAGAGTAAAAGAGAATGAAACACACAGTGACTATCTTTCAAGATTTACAATACTTGACCATCAGAAATGTTAACAATCCTTCCTAAAATTTTGAAACACTATATCTTGACACCCTTAATTCTTAATTTCCAATGGATTATGCCCAAACTTTCCAATTTGGGATATTAAAAATATATAGCTCTTCTTTGATTTTCTTTCATCTTTAATTAATAGTCCTTTAAAATAACTGCATTTAAAAGGCTGTAAGGCCTACTATAGCTTTTTTATTTTAAAGATATAAAGGACATGCTCCTTAAGAATAAATAAATGCATAGATAAAATTAGCCCAGCCATAGTAAGTGAATAAAAGGAACGAGTTCTAAATAAGGTAATATTAATTGATAATTTAAAAAAGACTTATTGGAGATAATTATAGTTAATTCTATATATTGAGGTTATTATAAAATCAGAAAAGTGGGAGAAATGTGCTTCTGTATCGTAAGACAAGTGCGATACAATTTCAACCTGGCAAGATGAATATCATACATTCCTCTGAGTATTTTTAAAAAGTTCGTTCATCAACTGAACAAATATTTACTAAATGCAATGATATGTGCCAGGGGCTGTTCTAGGAGCAGACATATAACAAGAAACAAGGCCAGAAAAAGCCCTGCTTGCATGGAACTTATATTCTAGTACGGGGCAGAGAGACAACAAAAAAGAGAAAACATATGGAATGTTAGATTTTAAATGCTGAGGAGAAGAATGAAGCAGGGAGGGGAGAGAGCGAGACTGTGATGTGGAGGTGAGAGTGGGAGAATTTAAAGAGGATGGTCAAGAATATCCTGCTATTTGAGTAAAGACCGAATATCTAGAGGAAGAGCTACGAGGCAAAGGAAAAAGCGATTTTTCACTACAGTAAATCTTACTCTTGGTCTGTGTCTTTTGGTTGTTTCCTTAAATTCAGGGGCTAACACATTACGCCAAGAAACACATTACTTTTATTTGCAAGTAAAATCTTAACCAGCAGGGAAAAGAAACAAATCCTTTTCATAAAGGAGTGCTCAGAGATTGAAATGGATGGTGAGACAGGCAAAACGCTCCGTGGGCCTCTCCTTGGGGTCACTAAGATGGATCTCCTTAGGAGAAACACATTAAGATCACTGAGCAAGAAACAATTCAGTAAATGTTCAAGTTCTCTCTCACTGGAGTAAACAGTGGGTTGACTGAATGTGACTGGTCTGGTGCCGTACTGCAGGCAAACACAGAACAACAGTATTATGACTATTTTTTTTTTAAGCATTCCATATCTAAGAAGAAATTCCAGCTCCATAAATCTCTTGCTTCTTGCATAAAGATGCTAAGACGCTAAATATGAATGGTCCACTTAACTTCACGTAATGCAAGTGGTCAATAGATTTTAATGCCATGAGATGTAACAGTCAAGAAATAAGCTAGAATTTTCATAAGCCCATTCTACCAGAAAAATGAAAATGTATTTTGGCTACATTAGTCTGTTTTTTTGTTTTCCTATTATACCAACACTCCAACAGTCAATCTATTCATGAGTCCAAGAGTGGAAGCAATGGTTCTTGTATCACAAATAGAATGGAAATGTTCCACAGCAAACGTAATCAAAGTTTCAGTCAAATTTCCTAAATGTAACACCTTATCCATCTGTAAAAAGCAGCTAATCAAAGTAATATCTAAATAATACAATTGAGGCAAAACATCCATAATCTCTTCAAGATTCAAGTAAACCAAAATACTTTAAATATTAGATCCAAATAAAATGATTTATGGAGTTTTAAGCTAAATATACTCTGTAAGAGATAACCAATTTAGGACTAAGATTCAGGGTTCTGAGGTTTTCCAAAAGCAATTAACTTTGCTAAAAACAAACACAAAATTTACCTTAGTTTTCCTTTACTAAAAAATGCTTTAGAAAATTTAAAATATTTAGAAAATAAATACAAAATAAACAATATAAATTATAAACAAATTATATAAATTACACTGTGGAAAACCAACAATATAAATTATAAAATAATCCTAACCATTTCAGTGTGCCCGGCTGCAATATTCTATATGGAAAGTTTCAAGCCTGCAACTGCAGCTTGTTTTTAAAACAGGTGTCCAAGAGAATGTCACTTGATCTAATGCCTCCTTGCTTTGGTAAGTGATACTGACACTGAGGCCAAGAACTAGAATTATGCTTTGACGAGGTCTCTGAACTGACCACAATGTATTCAAGCTGCTTTAGCATTTGAGCACCAAACAAATGTGCTGTGTTAATTACTGTTATAAGATCTTGACACGAACTAATCCCTGTTCCTATTAACTTCCTTAGTAAATTAAGCTTTAATGCTTAACTGATAACAAGTGCTGGGATAATCTAGAGCAATATAAAACTTAACAGATGAGGGAGCAATAAATGATGACCATTCATGCTATTAACATAATACATATTTATTTCACATGGCAAGAAGATTGTGCATTAAAATTACATCCTGATCCAGCATTAAAACTGAAACCAAGGCAGGTAGGGGTTAGGAATGTAACTTCTATTTTGATGTTCGTATTTTCTCCCTATTAAGATGTTTTAGAGGTTCTGGTAGTGGCGATCAGCGGTGTCACAGAATTTGATAATCAGGCAACATGCATCAGCAACTGACATGGTTTGACATTTTGGAAGCCCATCCAATTACTTGCTTACAACAGCACACAAACAGCAGTGACTCCTGTCTCCCAAAACGGTATTTTTACCCAGAATATAGTATCCCTAAATACCAGTCTACATTACCAAAGTACCATAACTTATAGAAACAAGGTGACAAGTCAGAACTTATTTTTATTTCATTAATATTAAACCTAAAAATGTAACAACTAAATAATTTAGTAATTAAAATTTAGTAATTTAATTAAAAACAGTGTTTTATTTACTGGGATAAAGCAGTACTACACTAGATGTTACATAGTTTAAATATTTCTGTAATGCAATAACCCTAGAGTAGTACTTTTAGGAAAATGACTCTAACCAAATTAATGTCACGGCTTGAATGACAAGCGGGTTTCGAGTCACACGTGATCTGTTGAGGTCAAACCTTCACTGAATCCTCTGTGTGAGGGGTACTGTGCTGGACTGTGGAAACCCCTACTGATTTGGTCCTTCTCCCCATAACCATGGTTACTGCTACCACTACTGAATAATTCTTAAGTAAGCAGGTACTACTTACTGTGGAAAATACAATTTGAGTGAAAACTAACAGCGTACAAAATACTGTATTATGATTCCATTTCTGTAAACAACATCTGTCCTCGTGTGTGTGTGTGTGTGTGTGTGTGTGTGTGTGTGTGTGTGTTGTAAAACTGTGAACTAAAATACTCATAGTGGCTATCTTAGGGAGTTGAATTATGTATGCATTTTTATTTTTGTGTTGTTTTTCTCTATTTTTGAAATGTCACAATAAACGTGGACTACCTTTAAAATATAAGAGCTATTTTATTTTTCATCATGTACTGTATGCTGTGTTCTTGACACATTTATATTTAACAGTGGGTTAAGGAGAGTATATTTAGCTCTTAAAGTATTGAGGCTTCCTGGGCCCCATTTTCAGTATTAACTAAACATATTATCCTAAGCAATAATTGTACAGAGAAGGGGAAAGTGCAAGTAAGTCTTAACCTTATTCAAGTTTAGAGAAGCCATTGTTTTAACTCTTTCAAAACAGGATAAATTAAAAATGAGGAGCAAACTTGAGCAGTTATTTCAGCTGATCATTTGTTCCTGCCATAAGGCAACTCACAGAAGCAACAGGGTCCGGCTGGTGGGTCCCTGAAGTCATGCTTATACCTCATAACATTTTAAAAGCGCTTATTAAGAAATGCTCCGAGAGTTAACAAAGTGCCAGTACAGCACACTCGCTTACGATCTCTGGGACATTTTCCCTACTTGGAATTTAAGATACAATAAAATAGGATTTGGATAAAAATATTATAATGAAGCAGGTTATGATCTAATCTAAAATGGAAAACATTTATGTATAGACTTGAAGGTAATTATATCTTTCAGTGCTTAGGTATTCAGAATTCCAATCTTCTTTCCTCTAGGACTCAAAATTCTTATGTCACTAATTATTTTTCATCTCAATGAAAGTCCTCACTTCTATAATTTGTAAAATAATGAAGTTCAGATAAATGATCTTCAGGGTTCCTCTGAGTCTTACAATTTTATTATTATCTGGAAGGCCCCATTAATCATTATTTTTCCTTAATTCTGAGAGGAATGAATAACTGACAAAATTGGTATTTTCAGTTTTCATTTCAAGGGCCTAGAATTACTTTTCATTAAAATAGACTCTAACAAATAGATATTCTACTTCAATAACCATTCCATAGAAATATGGCAAGAATATTTTCACTAATAAAATTTTGACTCTTTCAGGAGATAAATATATATGTGTGTGTGTTTAAAAAAACAACATTGGTATTAAAACAACATCGGTGGGCCGGCCAAGTGGCGCGATGGTTAAGAACTGGCTTGGGACGCCAGAGGGCCCAGTTCAGATCCCACATATGAGGGCCAGTGACACTGCCCTCCACAGCTAAGATGCTGAACAACAGCTCAACCTGGAGCTGGGTTGCCGCGAGTCGCTGACAACGGCGTGGGCAGCACTCCCTGTGGCAGCGGGTTGCCATGGGCTACCGTATGTAGCCAGCAGCCAGCGTGAGCAGCCAGCAGCCGCAGTGAGCAGCCGTCCAGAAGCCAGCGACTGATCTGCCTCGCCCGGGAAGAGCGCAATGATGGTGCCAACTTGGGCCAGTGAAGCAACGTCCTCCACAACTAGACTGAAGAACAAAAGGACAGCAACTTGTCTGTTCCCCTTCCCCCAATTCCCCAGCACTGTTCCCATCCCCCCAATTCCCCAATAAAAACAAACAAACAAACAAAACCAACATTGGTATTTCTTGAAATTTCCAAGAAACTCTTTTGAAATTTCCAAGAAAATTCAAAACCAACCAACCTGATGACCTGGTTGCAGTGGGCGCACATTGGAGTTCGTTTTCCTGCTGGAATGTGCTCAGCTCTTTGCACTAAAGTGTCCTGGTCGCTGGGCTGGGGCTGCCCCGCAGCTGAGTTGCCCGGTGTCACTGCTCCTGAAGAAGCTGCACTATTTGAGATTCTCCCCGTGGAAGGTGCTAGGAGTTCAAACACAGAGGAATCAGAAGGAAAATAAGCCTGATATAAGCTTTTCTTAAAAAATAACATGATAACTTTTAAAAGTCATCTATTCACGTGCTGATTCACTCGCTCGCTCACATTTGAGGAGGGGTTACATACCAGACACTGGACTGTGACTACAGAGATAAACAGAAACGAGTATCGAGGATAACAACACAATGAAAGAGTTAGGACAGAAGCATGTGTAGCGCGTTGCTTCCCAGAGGAGGGATGGTTAGGGTAAATAGTGCCAGCGAGGTACTTCTAGTCATCCAGGCATCTCTGCTAAGAAATAATTACATTAACTCCAAATAGATCACAAGCACATTAAAAAAAATCTCAGGGAGTTGGAGATACCAATAACAAACACGAACTTACTACATTATCTTTCTTCCTGTATGCTCTAAGAAGCCTGTACGATCAGTCACCCGATCATGGAAGGTCACTACATTATACATTAGAATCAGCCTAGGACCTTCCTCTCCCTCAGCTGTGGTGACAATGGATGCTGCTGATTTTATATCACATTAGCTCTTAGCTTTTCCCCTCATCTCCCTTCCTACAAGACTGTCCTGGTTTAGATCCTCAATGTCTCCCACCTGGAATAGCCGCCAACATGTCGTGTCCTCTACAAATTCATCCTCCCAGCTGCCACCAAAGACTGCAGTCTGGCCCCATCGCAACTCGGTGGAAACCATTTCTAGGCCCTGCTGCTCTGTGCCCACTGAACGCAGTCCATACTTCCAAGCACTGCACACAGGTTCCGCCAACAGCCTCGGCCTGCCCCACCGCCCGCTTCCACCCCTCCCTGCCTTTCACTTCATGCTACAGCAATACCAAACGGCCTCACGTGCTCTCGTGCAGGGGTCTTCAATGCCATTTCTCTATCCTTCTTCCTATGTCCCTAGTAACCACTGCCTATTGTTTAAGATTCAGCCCATAAGTCGACAGCTCAAGAGTCCTCCCTGATCACCTCTCCCTGCTGCGCCCTCCACACAGTCCTGATTAAATGTTTCTCTTCCATGTTCCCATAATTTCCTATGAATGACTTTATTACTGCTTCTACTATGTATATATGTCTTTTCTTCTCCAACTAGATGATAAGTTCCCCGAGGGCAGGGACTACAACTTACGCATTACCTTTGCAACTACCAATGTCTGGAATGAATAAATGAATGAATGAATGAACTGGAATCAATACATAAATGAATGACTGTGAAAACTGTAAGGGACTGAAACCAACAGAAGCCCAGGTCCTTACCCACAGGCAATTAAAATGTCATAGAGGGGAAAAGGCATACATTAAAAAAGTTTAAAAGGAAACAGCCTTTAAGAAAAGCACGTACATACTACAAATTAATCAAGTGCGTGTATGCATGTATATGTGTGTGTGTGTATTGACAGAATCCATATTAAAGGTGTGGTCAGAACTGGGTAAGATAAATTAGGATAATTTTCCCTCACCACAATAACGTCTGTTTGCAGTCAAGTGCACGTGCAGATCCAGAACCCAGCATTCGCAAACACCGAGCCCATCTCCTGAGGTGCTTGGCCTGGCACCCGAGCTGTGACATGGCATCTGACTGGCCGGGGAGCCCTACGACTGCCCATGTTTCAAGTGAGTCAACTGACCAGGAACATGTTTTCTTTCTCTTCAACTCATGCTTTCTCTTACAGAAATGGGAAAGAAAGCCGCCGCACTATCACTTCGTCCACTCTCTTCCGTGTTACCTCATTGACTCACACAGCACCACTCTCTCCTCTGTGGGTCTTCACTTTCTACGTCCAGGCCTGATTACTCCTGGACCACCAGATATGCATTTTCCACGCCAAATCTTGTTTATGTCTTTAAGTTCGGGACATGCAAAATGCATTCCACTTTCTTGCGCACCTTCCCAGCTCTTCCTAAGAACTCTCCTTTATTTAGGCGACGCCTTTGGCCTCATATGTCCCTGACTCAGTGCCCAGGTGCTAACAATGGTTTCACTGTAAATGTTTACAAGGTCTGTCTCTTCTTGCCAATCTGAGCCCATCCTCTTTCATTTGAGTCCTGGTTTCAATCCCTCCCGTCTGGACCATTACACGTCTTCTCAGCAGTTTCTCTGCTGCTAGTCTCTTTTTTTTTTTTTTTAGCTGAGCCATCCTGCCACCTGTTGGCAGCTCAGCGGCTGCTCAGCTTGGGCCAGGACTCGAACTGCTGCTGCTCAGAGCTCAAACCCTTGAGCAAGCTCTTAACCAACTGAGCCACTCGGCCGGCACGGCCAGTCTCTTCTTCAACTTCTTCTGCTACGTTCTTTTTCCAAATCCACTAATCTGGTCATTTTTTATTGTAAAGCTTTCTGTAACTCCTCACTGCAAACTCCATTCAGTCCTGACAGTCCAGCTCCTCAGCGACTTCACCCTCATCTCCTCTACAATCTTCTCTCTTTTGCGCACCCATATCCCTGTCATCATCATCATCTTGATTATACTCACTTAATATTTAACTTGTGCTGGTATTATTCTCAAATCTTTACAACAGCCCTATGATTTAGGCATGATTAGTACCACTTTTTTACTCTTTCTGAGGCCAAAAGAGGTTAAGAAACCTGCCCAAGGTCAAACACCAAACGAAAGGACGTCCAGACTCCAGGCAATCTGGTTTCAGAGACTGTGTGCTCTTAAACCCTATGTTCTAGTCTATTTGCTTGTCCCTTGAACATGCCATGTCATCCCCTGCTTCTCTGACCCTCAGTCAATGAAATGTCCCTCTCTCCTCGGCTGCTCATTGCTTTCTCATTCTGCATGGCTCATGAAAGTTCCATCTTCGTCTTCAGTATTCTCTTATCATCCCAACTTTAAGAGGGGCAGTGTTCTCCTGCTCCTTTAACCTCTGTAACACCCCTGCCTGGATAATTTATTTAGTATTTATCAATATCCTGTAGTGCCTTTTCCTTCCTAAGTAAATGATAAACTCTACCCACTACCAGAAAACTGCCTTACAACTAGAAGGCAAAAAAAATTAATATTGAATCAAGTAAATGAAAAAGGGAGGGTTCCAAATCACTTTCACTTTTGCCTTTTTAAAGACAGCTATAGAGATTTTTTTAAATGTAGATTAGGTTCAGGATTTCAAACAGTGGGAAAATTACCAACTGAAAAATCTGAAAATCAAACCTCAAAGAGAGTCAAACCCTTTCATCTACCATATGCCTTTATTTTATCACATTATCTATGCATAAGCCCTAAAGTACTGAGTCACTGAGACATTTTTAGCAATAAAAGAGTGTAGTAATTCTGCATCAGTCATTGTAAAATGGGACATAATCCATCTGGCCCAGGCCTCAAGGAGAAGGTACGTGGGGAACTAACTTATTTAACATGAGAAGCCATTCTTAAACATGAAACATCTGACGGTCTTAAGCACGTATAAAAAGGCTCTAAGCTCACTGCTGTTCCTTCCTTGGGAAGAAAAGCCTTGCTTTCTGTTACTGCCCCATGTTAACCACTGTGGAGAGGACCGAAGTCCGCACACCTCGGTTTTGTTGCTGTGTTGCTAGCACACTGGCCCGCACACAAAGCGACACAATTATGGAGCCTGAATGTTTCCAAGGCCCCGTTACCTCCCATATGAATAAAATGTTTCATTTCTTCACACTGAACTTCTCACCACTCTAGCAAAGGAACAGGCAACTTTTGAGCCATCGAGTGCCAATCCCCAGCTTCTGCTCTCTTGGCTTATGGGAAAGAGAGGTTTAAGAAGGTGAGGTCTTGGGAGTAGGGAAGCCCCACAAAATGAGCCCTGTTTCCTTCAGAATTCTGTACAGAGAAGAGAGTCTTCCATGGGTACAATGACTAAAAATACTTCAAACTTATTGAACCCGTTTTAAAAATCACCTACGTTAAGGTAGAAAAAAACAGATATCTCTTTAGAGACGGCAGCTTAAAAATGACAATCTATTTGTATTTTTTTTTCTTTTTAAGTCCTAGAAGAACTAGTAAATAGGAACAGTGAATTAATCCATTTCATAAGCAAGGAACCTAAGTCACAAAAAATGTAAGTGACCTATTCAAACTGAATGATGAGTAAGTCAGTGAAGTGTCACAATGGGAACATCAGGGAGTTAGTCCTTCACTCAAGTTTTCCTTTTTAATCTTAATTTTGAGCAGCTACCATCAAATTTGGCTTCTTTTGTGGCTAATCTCTATTTTACTGGGATCATGTTTTAAAATTTTTTTTTCTTTTGTATCAAATACATTTCAGCACCACAAAGCTCATCTAAAAATTTAGAGCCATAAGCTACTTTCGAAACCAATAGTGTTGGTGAGAATATCTTTTCTTAACTTTAGAGTGGTTATTGTCTTTCGGTTTTGAATGATATACAGTCATATTTATTCTATGTCTTTCAGCACTGCTAGTAAGACCTAAAATTACAAAGATTATCATTGAATAAGTAAATATAAATTTGTGGGGAAACCTAGCAGCATAATAGAACACTTTCACAGTATATAATATATAAACTTGTCATATTAATCAAGTAAAATATACCCATAATATGCTGAGTTGCTAGTTTTTAAAATATATGTCATAGTGATATATCTAAGAATTAATTCTAAGGGGCAGTGCTTCTTTAAAAAAGCAACCAGACCTCTGACTTACTAAATATGAAATTTCATTTACTACAAAGAACTAAATCTCTTATGGACAACAGACTATTAAGTGGCATAACAAATTTTTAAAAATTGAACCACATATATTCATTAATTTAGTAGAACAACTATTTCCTGTTATTGGGTAAATCTATGTGATATGTTATTTGGAAAGATAAATTAAAAATTCTTTACTTTAGAAAGATCTTCATTAGATTTTTTTCCCCCAAACAGATGATTTAGCAAATTAGTTAACACAAGTTTGAAGCAATCTTATCCTTGGATTTATTTTTCTTTTCTCACCATTGTAAGGCCCCAATCAAATGATGATTAAGTTATCCAAGTTAAC